TCTGTCTCTGTATCTAAAATTCCCCTTTTTATAAGGATACTAGTCATATTGGATTAGGGCCCACCCTAATGACCTTATTTTAATTTGATTATCTCTGTAAACACCTTATTTCCAAATAAGGTTGCATTCTGAGATACTAGAGTCAGGACTTCAACATATCTTATTTGGAGGAGATACAATTCAACCAAGAGCAAAACCCCAAACACTGGCCAGGAAAGGCTTCTGTGATGTACATGGCTTCTGCTTTCATCTCTGACCACACCTCCTACCATTCCTCTTCTCTTCTGTTTCAGCCATCTTGGCATTGCTACTTATCAAGTTTGCTTTTAGCATGTAAATTCAAATGTCACCGCCACAGAGAGACCAACTCCCGTCACGCTATCACCTCAACCCTCTTTCTGTACTACTTCAGTTAGTCTCTATCTCATTACTGTTTCAGTTTCCTCATAGCATTTATCACACTCTGAAGTCACCTGATGTGTATATATATATATATATACACACACACACACACACACACACACACACACACACATATTGTCTCTTTCCCCCTGGTTATCTATCCAACTACTATTCACCCTCTACTATCACTAAGAATCTGACTAAGTCTAGTCTGCCACACACTCAGCGCCAGGGCATGCATGGATTTCAACCAGGCCAAGACAGACACAGCAGCTGTGTTTCCCTCGCAGAGATTGTTGGGGTGGGAATGGGGTCAGGTGCTGGTCAATGGGATGCAAGGAAAAGTCCTTGGGGTTTCTAGAAAGAGTTTTCTCCTGATTGAAGAAGCTGACAAAGAGCAAGCTCTTTTCTCCTTCCCTCTTGATTCCTGAATTTAGATGTGATTTCTAGAGTTCCACCAGCTAGCCCGTGTCCATGAATTGGCCTGCCAGAGGAGAACAGAAGCCAACCGTGCTGAGCATAATGGAAATGGAAAGAGCTTCAGTTTTGGATGATACCATGGCAACTGTATCAACCCTAGAACTACCTACTTCCTGATTAAGCACAATAAATGTCCTTACGTTTTAAGTCACTGCTACTTAAGCTTTTTCTTACTCACCTTGAAAGTGTCCTTACTAACATTCTCCTCCACCATTACTATAGAAAGATTGTTGTAGCTAATGCTGGAGCCCCTGGGATGAGAACAACATCTGGCAGGTAGGAGGCACTCAAAGAACATTTGTTGAATGGATGTGTGGATGAATCCAAGTACCTATTGCATCCCTGCCATGCTACTTATCTTTGCTGCTCAGCCTCCGTCTTCTTTCATGCCTTTGTCTCAATTGCCTTTCCACTGTATTCTCTCTTTTTTAACCTCATCTAGTCCCAGCTCTTAACCTATCTCCTTCTCTGCTCATAGTGTCCTCCTGGCTCACCACAGCATAGGTTTAGCACAGCCAAATGTCTGACTGTGTGCTGCTCCACAAACTCACCTTCACCCTCTGGCTCCCAGACTATACCTTCAAAGCCTAGACACAGTAGAGTTCTCCTGGATGTGCCACCTCCAACTGTACCTTTTGCTTTTCTTGTGGCCCTGGCAGTGTCTGCATAAGTGTACATTCTCTCTTCCCTACAGTATTATATACACCTTAAGACCTGGATTCATGTCCTATTTTTATATGTACCCCCCACAAATAGTAGATCATTAGGATAAAAGCTCTGCTCAGTGAACTTCTGTTGAATAGGGGCTGCATGGCATAGTGGCTAAACCATCTTTTGGAGACAGGAAAGCCAGAGCTGACATATTATTTGCTTGTTGTATCAACCACCTAACCCTGCAGAGCCTCAGTTTCTCCATTTATAAAATAGAGAATAAAAATGTTTACCTTATAAGATTGTTGTACATTTCTCTGAAAGGGATAATGCATATAGAATATTTGACACAGAGCCCAGCAGAATGAACACCCATTAAACAGTTGCTATTATTATTAATAGTTTTTTTGAATGAATGCTATCATATTCATGAGGATAGTAAAGATTAGTATTCTCATAGATGAACCATTTCTGGCAGACTATGCTTGTATGTTGGGATTTTATACACACACACACACACCCCTATCTGTATCCATGTAGCAATGATGTCAAATGTTATTGGTTTTCAGTGGATGTCTTGGTAAGTACTTATACATAAGAACTATAGATCTTGTTATATACCCACGTAAGAATTTTCTATTTTTGAAATGTTATAGCAGAGACTATATGAAGACTGCATGAGGTCTGAAGGAATTCTAATGAATTCAATGAAGCTGAAACCATTCGTCTGTTTGAGAAAGTAGCTAGGAGGAAGTAGAGGCTACATGTACATTTGTATGTTAATGATGTTAGTTTGCTTAAGTTTGGAAAACATAGTGTTCAGGTCAGGATACCTGGTCGCCAACCCCAATATGATCTCCAGCTAGTTAAAGCAGAAAGGAAGTTATTGGCAGGATCTTGGTGGGTGTGGTGATGGGGGGCATTTCACAGAATCACCAGGAAAGCTGGAGATCCAGGCTTGTAAAATAGTGGGGAACACAGACATAGCCCAAAAGTCAGACTGCTTAAAGATGCCTTCTCGGACCCAGATTACCCACTGTCACATGGCTGGGCTCTGTTGCCCCAACACAGGCTGCTGTAACCTCCGGGCTCTTGATTCCAGTGCGACCATAAGAAATAACCTCTGAATATCTGCATGCCTTGGCCATTCCCCCTGGATGGCACATCTGGTGAGCCACGTTTGGTCCCAACTGGCTCTCCAGCTGAACTTCAGGTCCTACCTCCCACCTGCTCTGGGGTTACCCATCCCTCCCAGGGAGTTTGGTTCCTGGATGACTCCTGCTACCAAGAAAGTGACAGGCAAAACAAAAACAGAACCAGAAATAAAAAGCTCAGGGTTTTCCATCCAGCTGATAGACATCTCCGAACCCATCCCACCCCAAGCATATATGAAATAACAGCAAGAATATTTTCATTCCTTTTTGCATAGAGAGAAATGTAGAGGGAACCCTTCTCTCTCAGCCACATTAATGATGGCCAGTAAAGGAACCACATGTGGTGCACAGTGGCCTTTCTAAAAAAGCATGGTGATGTGATGAAAAGAATTGCTGTTGCCAGATACCCATTGATCCGCTCAGAAACGGGTCCTCTGGAGCCCAGTGGGCAGAGGCAAAGGCTCCTTCTAAAAAGGGTGGCAGATGGCATTCTCTGGCACCCCTCACAGCATAACGGCTGGAGGAAGCAGTGGGACTCCATCTGGGAGAGAGCCTGTCTTCTGTGGCCAACCAGTCAATGTGTTTGCAATCTTTACATTTTCTGTGGTGCCCTTGCAGAAGGGCAGATTGTAGAAGGCTGGAAAATTCCAGCCAGGAAGAACCACACCTTTTCATGTTACTTCAGGGCAGATAGAGTGACTCTGAGAACCAAGGCAAAAGATAGCAGGGTGGCAAAGTAAACAGATGTTGAGAAAGTTACACATCTATTTTTTATTGAGAGAAATGAAAAGGTGGATGGACGTCAAGCTCTGATATTTGAAAATGTTGGTGGCCAAAGCGATTATCCTCCCTCCCCATCTGCACCACAAAATTGAGCCAGAAAATGTGTTCATGACTATTTCCATGGCTCTTACTCAGCTACAAGTCATTTCCCCTTTCAGATTATTTCCATTTTTAAGGCCCAATTTCCATTTGCTTTTTGATCTTCTGCTTTTAAGACATGCAGCCAATATCATCATGGGCTTTGTGCCAGGTTTTCTTTCAAGGCTTTGAACTTGTTATTTATCCTTTAACCTTGTAGGTGGATTCTGTTTGTGACTGGCTGGTCTCAGGTAGACAGGGCTTTCCTGGCAGAACAACAACAAAAAATGCACTTCTTATTGAAAGATAGAGGTAACAATGAACATTTTCAGACACTTCTTGTAAACACCAGAGTAAAGGTTCTACAGAGAAGTAATAGTGTGATTATCAGTGTTTCAATGAATAACAAACAGTGCGATACAGGTGAACAGTACAGTTTCAGCATCAACTACTACATGGAGCTCCGTAGAGAAATTTCCCAAGTTGTATGCTGCATTCACTCTTCCTTCCATGAAGTATAATTTTGCAAAACTATTATCAATTTAATTCTTCATCAGTGTTAATAAAACAAATGATTCTGGGGCTGGGTCTATCTGACATTCAAAAATTATAAATGGTTCAACGGCTCTTTGTGTCTTCCGCAAAAATTGCCTGATGGTCTTCTGTCTTAATTTTAAGCTTTTTAAGGGGGAGAATTGTGAACTATTACCCTTTGTATTCCCACAGCTCATCAGAGTATTATCCAGCTAGCAAGCACTTTGCCCACACACAGTTACCTCTGCTACCACTCTGCTAGTGGCACTGCAGCCGGTTGGCCTTACCTGTTAGGTGCAGACTCACACATCTCACAGTGAAGGACTACGCTTTCTCCTTGTTTCTAAATCAGATCTAGAGCTTTGCTCTAAATGATGCAAACGAAGGTGCTTATTAGAGTGCCACTGTGGATTTCATCCTGTACACACAGCTAAAAATCATTTAGTGGTGAGCAACTCAGCAATAAAAAAGAACTCCCGCCATGCACGCACATTGCCATCAATGGGGCAGCGTTTTGCACTTGCTGCAACACTGTCGGCTAAGAAGTGGTTCTCATTCCCATCTTTCCCCCTCTTACTTAGGTCCTACTTCTCCTCTTTCAGCTGCTGAATAGCTAAACAGAATGCCACTGTCTTTGGATTTCCAAACCTACGTGTCTTTATTGCAGACTGCCTATCTTTATGACAGCCACATGCTTGCCAAAGAAAAAGCCAGAATATTCATTTGGCCCCTTATTATTTCCGTAATACAAAAAAAAAAAAAGAAAGAAAGAAAGAAAGAAAGAAAGCAACTTCCTTGTCCCGGTTCTTCTATGCCGTTCCCATGGTAAGATGCTCCGAGGAGGAGAGTCTAGCAGTGGGGCAGCGGCTGGGAGCCCCCGATCTCCAGTGCCTCACATTTCCGTGGCACTCCCATTTGCTAGTGCGCTGCTGCGGCCGCACGCCTGATTGATATATGACTACAATGGCACTTTTCCATTTGACATTCTCTCTCTCTCTCTCTCTCTCTCTCTCTCCCTCTCTCTCCCTCCCTCTCTCTCTCGCTGTGTCGCTTAAACAACAGTCCTAACTTTTGTGTGTTGCAAATATAAAAGGCAAGCCATGTGACAGAGGGACAGAAGAACAAAAGCATTTGGAAGTAACAGGACCTCTTTCTAGCTCTCAGAAAAAGTCTGAGAAGAAAGGAGCCCTGCGTTTCCCCCAAGGTAAGCAGGAAAACCAGCGCTGACGGCTTGCCTAGGAAATTACTTCTTTCCAAACCGAGCATTTCATCCTCCTGTCAGACAAAGAGACCACCTTTAAATACCACTTAAATTTGCATTAATTTAATTTGCATTAATCTGTAGCATGCTAGCATTGTGTTTTTCTAAATGAACGGGTCTTTGAAGTCTGTGACAGAGCAGCGGAGCCTCACAGAGAGGCTGGAGAATCTCTTTGGGTTTGACTGAAAGAGATTTTATTTTCAAACTCGCTGCGTAGTTCGAGGTAACTTTGTAATCCGTGACATGGATTCCTGGAGCCCCAGTACCTTCCCTGCCGCCCTCATCCCTTTTACAATGGGGAATACTAGCAACGCTGCCGGCAAGCCTGCGAGTTTAAAAGCGCACTGTTTGCTTTTATTACTACTTATGTATGCTGCTGATCTCCTGCCAGGGCTCTGCCGGAGTGCTTAGAATGACTTCAAACAATAGGCGACCTTTATTTCTAGCTTTCTGTGTCATGCTTTGCAGGAAATCTTGCTCCTTTGCACTCTTCTCCCAAGGAGCAAGGACTTCGCTTCTAGATGCAGTCAGGAACACCGGGGAGAGAGGAGGATGGTTTTACTATATGATTTTGATTGGGCAAAAAGTCCGAGGAAATGCATGCTGTTTGCCTTGGCCTTATTGCAAAGCGTTATTTTTAGAAGTCGGCTTGTCCCTGCAGAAAGATCTGATGCTACCCTGTCCACGCACGCGTTGATTGGGAAAGGATGCTCCCATCAACACAGGGACTAGGACCCGTAGGAAACACTCCCAAACACCTGAGGAAGAGCCGGAGGGTTCTTTCAAGCTCCTAAATACAAGTTCTCTCTTTAAATGAGCGATTAGGCTGTAGGAAGCCTGGGCATAACTCTTCCTTGGAGGAAGGGAAGTTTGACTGTATACAGAATATTAATGACTCAGAACTCCCTGTAACTGAGGCTCATTGTAATCCACGAGGCCAGATAAACCTGGACGAAAGACGTCGGCTCCTGTCTCTGCTGAGATTCAGGTGTGGGAAAAGCAGCTATTTGGCCAGATGGGAGTCCCATCTTCTGTTCTTTGTAACTGTCATTAATAATGGACATGGGTACTGCAAAACATCACTCTGTTTCTAATATTAGTGCATTTTAATTACAGGGAGCTGGCATTGGCAAATTACTCCTCCACATAATATTAAATCCCAGGGGCATGTAGAACCATAGAGATGCCTCAAATGCAGTGTTGGCTGCGGGTGTCAAGTAAATACATTGGGGACTGCAGAGTGCCTCTCAATTGTGCGTTTAGACCCAATGCAAATATCTGCCCCTTTTCTTTTCACCAGTCCGTCTTCTGAAAGTAAACTTTAGGGTCCACTGGACCAATTGTACAGTGGAGCCGAACATGGTGTATGGGGAACTTTTCTGATTGTCTCTAACAAGTAGGCTAACAAGCATTGGTTGAATGAAAATCTGGCTTTTGAATGAGTTAATTTACAACTCTGGGGTGTTCACTGTTGGAGAAAGCCTGAAAAGATACTATGGAATCTATTGCTATACAATTTTACAGTGATTTTTTTAAAGCTGCTGCTGCTTTAACAAAGCAGCCAAATTAAAACAATTTTCTTTAACTATTATTCAGATCATTGTATGAAAGTGTCTGAACACAAAATGCAACGTTTTGCATCATTTACTTTGAAATACATTTGGTCCAGATAAGGGGAGAACTGGCTGAGGCCTTCTTGATGACTGTGTACCAAGCAGCTGATACCCACAGGTGGAAATGTGCCTGTAGAGTTTGCAATCTTAATTTGACTTCCAGGGACACTGTCAAGGGGAAAATAAATCATTTTTCAATACATTTAACAATTTCCAACTCATTTATTTCCGTGGGCCCTTGAAAAATGTGATTTCTCAGAATTATAGCCACCAGTGGTGGCTGGCAATTTTGTATTTTGAGAACTCACAATTTGAGTACTGTGATTCTTACTGGATGATTATTCATTCTCCCATTCTTTTAAGGAATTAAGCTAGTCCTGATGGAAGCAAAGGTGAATGAGCCATTGTCTCACTCCCTAATTCTCAGTCTGTATGCTTTCTCCAGTTAGCTTTTGGAACTGAAATGGACTTTGCCAATGGGTAAAGTGGTCAATGACCTCTTTGTTATAAAGAACCATTTAAAATATCTGTGGGTACCCAGATTTACTTGAAATGGTTGTCGCTTATCAATGAGTTTTCTTTCCATTGATGATTAATGGATTCCCCTTAGGCCTTTATCACCCTATCCTGGGTACACATCACTCACAGTTAATGCAGCCCGGTTCTTTCATGCCTGGGTAGGAGAAACCTGGAAAAAGGGCAGTTTATTCCTTCTCCGCTCCCTTGAGCATGCTTTGGAAAGGACCACGTGCTTTCTCTATCACGGATGGCTGTGAGTCACCTACTCAGCGGCTAACATCAGGGCCATTCAATGAATCACTGAGTTGGAAACATGCATGGAGGAAGATGCTGTCACTATCCCCCACAACGTTCTTGTCCCACCCTCAGGATCCAAACCAGTGACTTTTAGGTCTGGCCTAAATTCAAGAGGCCCCTTGGGAAGAAATGGTTGGAAGTTGTTCCCCAAACCCAGGTCTCTGTCAGAGCCACACACACAGGGTTGCTTTCAAATAATCCCATCTTGTGTCTTCTGACTCGGGTAGGTTACTGGGAAAACAACCCGGAATATAGCATCACCAGAGTCCTTGATTGGCCCTTATCAGCAGATAATCCCCTGTGGTTGGATTAACATGCCTCTGATTCCCTGGGGTGCCTGACTCACCACGGCCAGCTCTCAGCTTCTTGGCCAGCCACCGTTGAACCCTGCTCACCTCTCTCCATGACATTCTGTCACCGCTTCTTTGTCCAGGCGCCCTGGCTGGGCCAGTGGGAGCAGGGATGGGGAAGCAGGTGGAAGGGCTGAGAAGTGTTAAGCAGAGGAGGGAAACTGGGCCGTGTGAGGGTGGGTGAGCTCCAGGGCCCAGATTGCTGTGGCCTGCCCTGGCTGTGATCAGCTGTCATTTCCTCTTCGTGTATGACACTGTGGAACATATTAAAATTTCTCTGGGATGGTATGTTTGGAATTTCTCTGATGCCCCACCTCACCAACTTACCCGGACAATAAAAGCAAGGTTGTAAGCCTTTGAACAGCTGGCAGGCTATATATTTCCCCGCTTTCTTTCGCATAATCTAATTCAGAAAAGAATCCAGCTAGACTGGCAGTGCCATGTCTGGGTACTCGTTTCCTGCAAGGCCTTCCTCCACCACCTCCTCCCGCCCTGCCTGGAATCTTCCTGGGTGGCATGTGGCTTTTATTTTCTTTTGCTCTTCACCACTCCCACCCCACCCCCTTTCCCCTTCGCCTGAGCTCCTTCCATTGTGAGCTTGCTCTTTGCTTGGCCTGTTTTCCAGACAGCCTGGGTCCTGTTCCACCCAGGGACAGCAGCCCATGAGGTCTCCGCATCTCCATAGTATTCCCAGGATGTCATTCTTGGCAGCACTCCACTAGGCTGATAGGATTGGGGGGCTTTTTGGAGCCCTGAGCTTGAACCCACTCGCAGAGAGGAGCAGCCACATGGCTCAGCTGCCCTTTAGGCTGCTGAGAGAGCCAGTCTGGAGTGACCCGGGTTGGCAGGGCAAGCATACCATCACACTGACCCGCTCATGTCCGGCACAGGGCCGGGGGTGGGAATGTGATGGGAACGGCTGGATGCACTTCGGCCTACATTAAGAGAAATGTGGTTATTCTCTTTCATGGGGAGAGACAAGTGGCTTGAAATAAAGCTCCCTGGATCCTTCGGCCCTGCCCCGCCCCCTTTCTCTGACCTTCCCACATCCTTTCCTTCCCAGGAAAAAAGGAGGAGAGATGGGGCTTTTAATCTGGCTAGCATGGGCCTGAATGTCTTGATGAAATCTGTTTAATGACAAGGAGAGAGGAGAAATGGATTCTGGGTTGAGCTGAACTCAAAATGCACGAGGCTGGGGAGATGGGACAGATCTTTTTTGTCTGTCTCTTAACAGCAGAACACAGATGGGGTTGTGAGTTGCAAATGGAAGGAACTGGACTTCTCAGTTAGGCACTCCCCATTTAAGAGCCTCATGGAACTCCTCTGTGCAGCATCCTTAAAAGATGCTGCTAATGTCCTCAAGACCAAAAGGTATTGAAGAGCAATCTACAATGAAACTTTTTATTCCTTTTATTTTCCTGGGGGCTTTGGTAGTCTTTTCCAAATTGGCTAAAGTTCATTAAAAGACCCAAAAGGAAAAATCTAACACAGCTGAATTAAAATGAGTCTTTTCCTGCTCACTTGACAAGAAGGGGGAAGAAAAGAAAGAGAGGAAAAAACCAAGTCCCCTCCTCTGCCACTTCTTGGGTTTTAATATGAATTATTCCATACAAGTCCCTAGGCTAGAGGATCTATTTAAAGCCACCTGGCAGCATGAAGGGAGAGGGTAAAAATACAACCACTCTTTTGTCCATCAAAGGTTTTCTTTGGGAGGACATTAAGAGCAGTCCTATTATCCTGTCTGCCCCTGCCAGTGGCAACATTCCAGCTGGTAGTACCCACTCCTCACCCATCAGATCAGCAGCCATGCGTTTCTGTGCTTGATTCCCGCAGAAAACGAAGGGCAGAGAATCCTTTGGAAACCCCCGGGTGTGTGCAGTGGGGTGGGAGAGGCTGGTCCCGAAAGCGTGCTGGCTTGGCTCTGCAGGTCGCATGCTGCAAATTCACACACCCACACACTGGAGTTTTTGAGGAAGACTGTGCCGATGGCATTGTTTCTGATGCCAGCTGCCCTCACATCCGCAAGGCTTTTCTCTTGTGTGTCTGGCAACAGTTTGCTTGGTGCCATTCATGCATACAGTCCCCTTCAGCAGAGGGTCTCAGAGTCTGATGGGAGAGCACGTATTGCCAAGAGTAGCACCCTCTGGACCCTTTTTCAATAGTC